ATATATTCAGTAATACACCATTTTTTTGTATATATGACCGAGGTGAAAGTTCGATAAGATAGACGTCACGTAGTCACCGTCTTTAACTGTGGTTTTTGGATGGTACTGGGGTAGAACTGAATACGTAAACAATACAAAAACAAAACATATATAAGTATATAACCTACACCGTCGAATACAAAACAGCACAGGTGGCTACGTGTATATATATATGGCTATACCTAAAAACTTGTAGGTATATCATGCCTCCATATCCTGCATTTTCACTAACATAAATCACTGTTTAAACCAGAACTCATAGTAGAGCAGTAGAATAGATCAGACTGAGGCAACGCGGACGACTTTGTATGAGGATTACCTCAAACCATTCAAATACCATCTTTAAATAATTGCCATAAAACTTTCTAAGTTATTTGATACATAAACAAAATTTTAATTGTTGTCTTAAGATGCTTATAAACAGATTGTTCCTACGATAAAATATCGATCAGAAAGATGTTATCTTAAGTACTTGGCATAAGCCATATCTTTTCACGGCCACAAATTACACAGGTAATTCTACTGCGAGAGCGGAGGAAGGCTCGTCAGTCAAGATTATATCGTTCCTGAAACATCTTTTTGCTTAAGACCTCCATATCTTAAGTCCAGTCCTATCTTCTCGCAAAGAACCTCGCATTAAATCCTCCCTCATTTTAAGGTAATACGACATAATAATTTTAAATTTTGTCAAGAAAACTAAATATATAAATATATTTAGTTTTATTAAATTAGCATGTCTGGCTGTAACTGACGATGCCTTTCTATGAATGCCTATTATGTAATTGTTATCATGTTTAACGTTATTATCTATTATCATTATTTTACCACTACCACATTAAGTATTTCCAATAAAGTAAAACATTAATAGAGTAAATCGTATCATATGCCCTCAATCAAGTATTATGTAGATAATATTTTTGTTAAATCCGTTATTTTTTGTAATAAAATGACAAATATTAATATTTTGAATTCATCAATAATAATTTCGCCATTGTAGAAATATTTATAAAGAAATCTCATTGGGAACTGTTATTCTAATTTACATATATTTAACTTTTGCTAAAACTTTGAATTATGATACTATGTATTTCTCTATGTATATAATTTATATAATAATATGGAAGGAATGGGCTTACTATAATCAATCTTAGAAAGCCCCCCAAGAAAACAATATTTTTATTACAATACTTATTGTTCCATTTATGTTGTATTCAAGAAAACGCCAGCTTTATCTATCTTAAAGGAACAATGGACTGCGGACTACGTCAGCAGGGCAATCTACATGCTCGCTAGTTAAACTGAATACTTCCAATGTAACAGATGATGAGCCAGGGTGTTACACTCCCATTGTTTTCTATGTTACCATAGAGCTAGCAATCAAGTCTGACTTTTCGCGTCGTTACCATAGACAAGTATATTGTAGCTTTAGTGAAATTTGATACTTTAGCTTTATATCAGACTTGGTGTACATCTTGCAACTCTGTCTGTATGTGTCTATAGAAAACTACAGTTTCAGCTACTAGTAAAGGCAGTATTCTAAAGCAATAGAACGCTACACCATCAGCGGTGTAGCTTTGTAAAACTGAACCAAATTATGAGAACAGGCAAGTATTCTATGAGGTGTTTCCTGTTCATCTCAGAAGCGTTCCGAACCGAATATTTCCTTAGAATATCTTTTCTCCCTACCAGCCGCCATTGCCCCACCACAATTATTTCAGCAAGGTAATCTGGAAGAGATAGCGATGCTGATTCCCGAGAGTACTACAATGGCGCCTCCAAGTCTCTTGCGATAGGATCGACAACCACTATATTATTCCATTACTCAAATATATATTACAATAATATTTATAAAAAGTTCATGACAATCAATTAAAAATAATTTCTTTTCACTTTATAACATAAACTTAGGTAAATAACTATTTAAATACTTATCTGCACATAGAAATTTAACGCAATCTATGAAGGGTGTTAAAGTATCGCTTAATCAAAACATTATTAATCACATATAACTCTGCCACTCCGACAATTATACACATTCAATGAGAGAGTACACGCTCAAGATATGTTTAGACTAGACTAGAATCTGTTCACCCCATAAATGTGAAAAAAAAATAAAATATGCTGATTGTAGCACTACATATTCGCTACTACTCCAGAAAAAGAATATCAATTAAACTCCATAAGAACTTCACATATCACATTAAACACCTGATAATATTATTATTTCGATACCAATGATCATAATCGAAAGATATTTTTTAACACCGTCCTAAAAAAATATAGTTTAAACATCTATAAAACACAATAACTGTAATCTTATAGAGGATTTTAGATCAATCATCCTATTCTCTAACTTCGCCCTGCGGCATGCAGGAGTTAGAATTACCTATTACTATAGGTACACAATATAACAATATTCTTCTGTTCAAATCTTTTGTCTATAGGTACACCTACTCGTATAGCTTTGATTGATTAATGGCGTAATGCAAATTAGTATATAACTAGCAAACTGTGACATTCCCTTTACTTTCGCAGCCTGACTAAATTACTACACAGATTCAGTAAACTAGATTAATTGTTAAGTGATATCGTATGAAAGCAACAAAAATACTGTACCTAATAAAAATAAAGTTCGATGTAGTTATCTCTCTATCTATCTTCACGCCAAATACTTAACCGAGGCATAACCGGGAACCATTTGACTTAAAGTCAAGTACATAAATATGTGTGCAAATATCCCAATTTAAATCAAATTCATAAAATGTATATCTCACACGTGGTATACAAAATTTAAATAATATAATGAATACTTCAAAGAATAACTTATCCCGCTTGATATTATATCGATAAAAATGTAAATATATTTAAAAAAATGAAAATTTTAGCCTCTACTGATGCGAAATTGTACGCCTCTGATTAAGTAATATGTATATATAATATAATATACCTCGGTAAAGCGTGTCGATGATAAATTGTAAACATTGTACGGATTCATAATAAGGGTATAGGCAAAATAACTCAGGGGATGTAATAAATTTGTTTTGGTAACTCACCGGGGCAACCCTTTGTGACTATTAGAGTTCCAATCAAAGTTGTGAATAAAGTCCACATCTAATACTTATGAACAGCCAACCATATATTATAATTATTGCCAACTAACAAATAGTTGAAAAAGGAACCGTATTCACCAAATTAAAATGTGCAATTTTGTAACTCATTCTTTCCAATGCTCACAAAGATTGAACTGTTAAACTAGTAGTATTTAAAGTTCCTCAATTAGTATTTAAAGCAAAAAAATCGGAACTAATATAATTACAATTTAATTCAACAATTTTTTACAAAACCTAACTAGAAAATATGATGTGAGCGTGCTGAAATAATCTTCTGTATTTGTGCGAAGAGTAAGTAATTTCTGTAAAGAGCGAGAAATATCGTATGCAACAAGTGTCCACAGACAGGCAAATATTGACATCGCAGCCGCCGGAAGTGCGCTGCCGGGCTCTTCCGCACCTCATCACGTATCACTCGTGCCAGTGCTCTTGCATTCAACTATGTTTGTGAATTGCACCCAACGATATATGTACATTCGGTATACATACAAGCAGAATACATTTTTCATTAATATATTATATGATAGTGTGTTCGTCTGACTGCTTATCACATTTGTTACGGCTAAAGAGAAATTAATGTATATTTATAACAGTTTTCGAGTACCATACCCGTAACTCAACCTTCACTTAACTTGGAACTAAATGGCACTTTAAAAATTGTCCTGAGATATCATTATAATGAGATGAAAGATATATTGTATTACAAGAGGTACATAGACCGTTTTATATCAAAAGAAATTTGCCGAAGTCGCATTAATTCTTATTTGAATATTGGCTCTACATTAATGAAAAATTTTCATACTGATAGTACCCCCTACGGAGAGATATGAATATATAATGCACTCTGTGATATAGTGAGTATTGTTAGTAAAGTGCTGGTCAGATACTGATATAATCTAATCTAGTATAAATACCATTTAATGAGAATATCTACATTACAGTGTATACACACTGCATAAAGTATTTTTTTCAAATCCACGTACCTGACGTGGATAGTCAAATTTGAAATTATTTCGGCGAAATAAGTAATGATGAAAATTAGACATAATTTCGCATCTTTATATTTATAATAAAATCGTTTTCCTGATAGTATTTTCTTTTCTCTAATAATAGGTACATCATTAAGCAGCATTTATTATTAAAATGTTTAACTTTACTTTCATCTGAGTTTACTATTTTCTGAATTTTGCATTCATATGTATTTCACTATGAGTATTCTACGTTTATAATGAAAAAAGAAGAAGAAGAAGAAAAATAATAGCGCTTCTTGTTGGTATATTAATCCTACTTGCCAACAGAAAGTTAAAGGAAATCTTTTGCTACGTTTACTGTAACTTTGTATTGCTTATGTATTGTAGCGCCATATGCAGCAAAGACTGGTCACAAGCAATGATATTTACCTCATTATAGATGAACACTTGAAAATCAAAGTTGTGACTATAGAATATTGGAACATCGCTACTACCTACATGCTTTGGATGATATGTACATGTCAGCACATTCGACGTAAGCCTAAGGCTATACTAATGCGATATTTGCGATGCATTTGTAGACCGACAACAGTTGCAGATTATATATGTGTAGATTAATATACCGACAACACATGCCTATATACGAGTATGTATGAGTTCACAATGATTTAGAAAGCTTCGCTGTTCGCTGACTATATGCCCAAAGTCACAAAATATTTATTTACTTAGTCTATCTTATTTTAAGATAGTTTAGAAATCTATGAGCCGGGAACAAAAATATTACTGGAATATGTAACGATACCAAAAATATAAGAAGTGTTGTACTAAGTTTCTAGTGGCGGCAAAATTTATCCATAATTCTATACAGTAAAAAACTTACCATAGTTTTAAGGAATGTAGGATTATTTATTATCTGCAACAAAAACATTATTAGATTAGTATATAGATGTCCACAAGCTTTGTAATGTGGAATGCATTATTATTTATAATTAATTACAGTTATGTAATTTTATTAAATTTAGTACTTAATATATTTAATTTAAATGTGTTAATTCAATATCTGTGGATGTAAGAATTACGGAAACTAGAATACCATATTATACTTACCTGTCTAATACCACTTGAGTAATAAACTGTATATAGCACAATAGAACATTCAGCATATAAAACAACAATTGAGCATTAATATACTAATTAAAAAGAGATTTTTTCTTTTTCAAATTCGTAACATACTTGGTTCATAACATATTGTTAAAAAAAAAATGCTGTACGACAGTTTGTTTTTCTTTTAGCACCGAATTTAACAACCAAGGCCTTTATACTTACTGGTCGGTCTTTGAACCGTTATAAAGCAATTTAGTTAATATTACACCGTAACTGATGGTAGGGCATCGTGTTTTTAGTCATAAACTTTTTGGTGTCAAATTATTAAAATAATAAAACACAATAGAAATAGTTGTTAAGCAGGAACTTAGCGCTTTTTCGCAAGCCCTTGTAACTTTCCGGTCTTTCATTGAGTATTGTAATACGTACAATAAATAGTTATTTTAAGTTAGCAGTTGACAAACTTTAAGCTGAATCATTATAAAGTATCTAATACAAACACGTTTATAACAAATATTACGATATATTGAAGAAAAGGCTAAATGTATATTTACATACAACATGCTGATTTAAGTATTTATTATACTGATTTGTTGCCATAAGTAGAGCATATTACGCAATTGCACTGAATTGCAATGACGTTGTTGTCTTAGGGTTTCATAACTTAAAACATATAAATTCTTTTTAATTTTTGTATATTTATTTTTATCAACTCAATTTATCGAATCTAGAAATATATTACTGCTGTAAAAACCGATTTCAGGTTAAATATATCTATTATTATCTCCCTATATAAAATGTTTATTTCCCAAAAATATTGTAATGTTGATTTTCCACAAGTATGCCTAATTTAGTTGTTCGGGGTAGGCCAGACTTTTATTTGCCTGCATTGAGACTACTACTTGATGATCTTTACGTCTATAATTATCAGTCTGGGTTTCTTCTGCGTATTTCGTAATTGCTATTTCGTAACTGCGTAATTCTATTTCAGTTTTTATCACTCAGAGCTACAGTTTATTATTTGGTAAGCGACATCTAAACTTTGTTTAGTTCCCGAATGTACACAGTTTCACCACTAAAGCATAGGTCTAAACTGCTAGCGGCGTTTCTTTTCAATTTCTCCCCCATTTTTCTGTATTTTTTTATTCTTGCCTATTTCGTAATAATGCATAAATTACATTTACGGTATATCTACTATTCATCTTTTCCTATAAAAGTTAAGGTAAAAGGAAAATAAATGAATGCTATTATTTTTTTATTAATATCAAGATATGAAAATTTTTAATTAAGTTTAGTAGATGAAAGCAACCTGAAGTCATCTTTGTACTTACTTTTTTTTGTAATAAGTATGATAGGTATATTCCATACAAAGACAGTAATGAAATCCTTATGAAGAAATACCCGAAGCTGATTGTTATGGTCTATTGGAAAATATTAAAGTTTTAATAATAAAAAAAAACCAATAACTGTTATAAATTGAATGTGAGGTACATAAAACAAAATAAAATATTTTTAATATTTAAACACACGCGATGTAAGCGATTATAATTATTATGAATATTATACGTATATACAAAATAAAATAGAAACCGACTTGAATAAACACGTAATATAATTTTTTATGATCAAAGTTAAACGTTGAAGTGTTCTAGTAGCAAATTAAATAGAAGTACCAATGTATGTGGGTACCAACATTGATATCACTGATGTATTTTGAAGCGAAAACGAAATAGGAAATGTATGATTGTATATGTTTAATTATTTTTTAATTAATTAAACAATGTAACTCCGAATAAAATAATTACATTTCCTTCGCATTTACATATCTTTCTGTTAGCGAAATCTAAGAGATTCAATTAAAGCGATCATAAAATTGGAAGGTGCATAATTATATCTGGATATATGAAATAATTATTCTGTTTAATGTAGGGACAGATCTATCGCATTGGTTGTGAACGAAGGGAATTCGAGAGGGTAAGGTAATGCAATATTAGCGAGCGAGTCAAACTGGCCGTGCAAAGGAAATGACGGACATGACCCAATTTATGTACAACGCCTCCCATAATTATGTCGAACATATCGTATTAATCTATTAGATGTACCCATTTGTGTTTACTTAAAATTATTTATGTATGGGGATGATCAAAAGTAGAAAGCAAGTATAAAAGGCCAGTTTAAAAAAATATAGAAGCCTCTGCGCTTAGACGACTTACACTAAAATTTGGGACTATATTGGACAAATTGTCTGGGTCTGTAGCATAATCAGACCCAATTTTTTATACACTCACATAACATGAGTCGATCTAGTACTATCCAATGGGTAATGTTCGGCACAATTTTAATGTCGGATCTAGCCTGTTTCTTTTCAGCCTACCACAAATATAAAAAAATTTACTATTTATCAAAATTATAAGGGACCTATGTAACGCTGAGAGTAAATAATAAATACATTTAGGTACAACTACTTATAACCACATTCTTGTATTACAAACGAAAACTTTGTACTGAAGATGACTATAGGTATAAATTGTTCGGTGTTCTCTGCATTCCTTTGCGAATTGTTTCCATATTGTCGAGTTGAACTGTTATAAGTAATTCATTTTAGGTAAACATAATATAATTTATAGTATCTATTATTATAATGCTGCTAATTCTAACAATTGTTGCTACTTGCCATTATATACCTACTATCGCCAGCTATATAATACTTATATCTTTTCCCAGTCCAATAAGGAGATATATAATGAAGATGCTAGAATATTGGAATGAAACATTGTTGTCCCAATGATAAAATTTTAATTCTAATGCCTGTTTTACACATATATAGTGTCTACGTGCTATTGTGATACTTAAGAAATTAGACTTAGAAATTATTGCAATCAACTGCAAATACTGTAAAATATATGGATAACATTGGTCAACCTTCAAGGTTAGAGGGCATCAGATGCGATTACAGCAAACAATACGTTCTCTACCATTCTAGATGCTGATTGATCTACCGTCGGTCAAATACTCTATAGATGCGTCAACAGAACACTTCACAATTAATTAACCTGTCGTACACGATTATACCGGCAAATTACGACTCGATGACCAAACTCTGTTTATCAATATTGCTATCAATGACCGAAATTTTTACAATTTATTTCAGTCAATCCGATGGCGTCCTCTCAAAAATGGTATAAACATGTTTTAGAAGATATTTGAAAGAAAGAAGCCGTACGTCCAATTAATAATAACGAGGAAGTAAACCCATGAAGATACATTCGCAAAAGAAGGACCCTAGAAATCCGTTTAATTTTGGCAAAGATATTGCGTAACGTATACATAGATAATGAATTGAAAACCTTTGCCAGTCGATAGTAGAAATATGGACATTCTTAAATTCTTTACCTTAATTGGTAGGTACATTAAGAAAAAATGTACTTACTGGGTCATGACATTATTACATATGATAAAATATAACTATATCCAACCAAAATTGATAATCAATTAACTACTGTACTGATAAAGGAAATATATTGAATCAATGTATCATTTAGTTTCAATATAAACAGACTTATGTGAAATGAACAACTTAAATTGTATATGTAAATAATTTTGAAACACTTTTATAAACTAGAATCTAACTCAGGGAGCACAAACTTATATTGAAAGGAAATTGGCTTCTTATCAACCTAAAGGCCGAATCATGTTTGAGATACTCGTACCATACTTTCAGTAAGTAAATTTTGTTTCCATATGACAAATGGTCTTTATAAAGAAAATTATCCTCTAGATTAAATATATGTTTTATGTTTACGTAATATGTAATTACTTATTTCTTTACATAGTATAAAATGAAGTCGCTTCCGCTCTTTGTTCGCTTATATCTTTTAAACTACGCAATGGGTTTCATGCAATTTTAGCAATGTATAGAGTGCTTTAGGCGAAATGTTTATAGGTATATATATAATATAAAATATTATACATGTACATGCGAAACCGGGCCGGTTTTAACACTAATATTTGATAACTATTTGCAAAAAATTAACAATAGACGCACCGTTTTTCGCCTGTTCTTCTGGGGTTTCCACAAGAAGTCAAGCCAATTATACAGAAAATAAGTTCTTTAAATTTCCGTACATAGTTATAAAATATTTTTTTATGAAAATAAAATTAATTATAATTATGTACGTATGATAAATACATAATAATAATATAATTAATAATAAGTAGTATCAGTATTTGTAAGGAATTAAAAGCTCTTTAATTTTGTATGTGTCTATTACACGGCACAACACATACAAGAGATAAAACCTTGCCTTGTGCAGATGTATTGTGCTATGTTTCAGTGAAAACAATAAGTAGGTATACCACATATACTGCTCATCATATTGTGCTTGATTCGCAAATACAATTAATTTACAAAGTCGGTAGTTAACAATGTAAATGCAATTACATAATCACGGACACTAGAAACTTAATTACAGATTGCTTGATATCATTGTGATAATTATTAGTAAGGCATACGTGATTTGAGTAGAGAACTAGGTTCATTTATGTTGAGAATACTAGTACGTGCCAGTTTAACAAAATGGACATAGACTATTATGTATAATTCCCCCTTTGTATAATAATAACGGTATTAGCAAGGATTTGTTATATTGTCCTGTCCACTTTTTGTTGGACAAGCTGCTAAGCTGAAATAACAAACAATTTAACTCGATTCAATAAAAAATATTTAAGACTAACAGTAATTCATTTGTCATTTAGAGTAGGTAAAAGTAGAAGTCTGCAATTTGATAAAGTAAAGTAGAATATGCAAAG